CGGCGCTCTATGTTTGCTGGCCGATCTAGGGCAACTCGCTGACGTTCTTGCTCCGACAGGGTCTCTCTCGGGCATTCCACGTCTGCTTTGCTAGTCTGCCCGAAAACTAGCCATTTTTCGTCATGTAAGCACGATAACTATCCTTCGCTGGTTTGCTCGTAAATCTTGCCACTCTTCACCACAAAAGCGTGTTAGTTATCCGCTATGTTCTTCGATCCATTTGGGACCTGAACATTCTAGATACTCATTTGCGACTTGAACAATTTGTGTCAACATCTAGCTAGGTGATCGTTGGATAGTTACCCAGAAGACTTAGCAGAATCATACGGCAGGGGAGCAAGCAAGTGTGATAGGAGTGGTTAGTATGCACGAATCGTTTCCACGCATATGGAACCGTACCCTTGGGTTGAATAAAGGTGCTGGGTGTTTGGAAGAATATAATCTATTCCCAGGCCCAAGTGCTAATCCTCTGTTCCCATTACACTCCTACTTGAGCACGTAGTTCAGCATCGATCTTTCTGCCGCAGATTCTCCACTGGCTGGTGTGTGCTGTGTGCTTGGGTCAGCTCAGTTCAGCTAGCTCCGTCGTGATCGTGGCATAGCTGAGTCGGAATAAGAATAAGATAACCATGCCTCTGCGGCTCTGCCCAACATAACCGGATCCATTCCATATCATCACATAAAAGAGCATCGTCTTCATGGTTTGTTGCGTCAGTTAGCAGCTTAGCGTTCGTGGCTTACCGTCGATCACGCTGCGCTAACTAAGCAGCTGCTGTCCACGTGTAACTCATGACAGCTTTACACCTTTTTCCTCTTCTCATGAATACAAATGGCGCTATATTATTCTTGATGCTGCTCCTGCTCCTCGTTTTTTTTTTCTTTTTTTCTTTTGAACAGAATACTCGTTTTTTTTTCCGATCATCATTCAACTCTGAAATTTTATTTCCACTTTTTGATGCGGCACTTTTCATAATTAATTCTTTTATTAGAAGCTCCCTAATCGTTTGTTGGATCAAGAATAGCTAACTGATTCCGCTGTTTAATTAGATTGTTGACCACGCCTGTTCTCTACAGACTACAGCAAGCAGTAAAATACGCATTGCCCGTAGGACAGTGAGATGCAAACCGTTGATAGCTAAAGATCGGGTTTCCAGTATGTTCCTGCTCTGTTCACGTTTTCGTGTCCCACAACAGGCCACAGTCTGCTGAAAATGAAAGCCCTGTCCTTATACTCCTTAAAATAAAAATAACAGAAAAGACCCTAAGCTTTTGTCGAACGCCTCTGGTTACCCTTCTGTTTCCTTTTCACTCACGTGCTCAATTTGACAACCACGGATTGGCTGCATCCATAAACTTTGTAACATCTCATAGCACAACTCTCGCATGAGTGATTGTCATGTTTAGAAGCTAAAGTTAATGGTTTCGATATTAAAGGTCTATTTGTTTGAGCTGTACAGTATTTTTTTTTTAGCTTAAAAGCTGACTTATGGCTTCTAATTGTTGATTTTTTGTTATTGACTTTTGTAATAAACTTTAGCCTCTTAGCACACCAAATTAAAAGCTAGAAAAGCTCTTTCTCAATGTGCTTCTTAATTTTTAGTTCATTTTTTAAGAAACCAGCTCAATGGCTAGGCTTTTTTTTTGTTTTAGCTTCTGACCGGCAGAAAGCTAGCAAAAAAAATAACACAAATAGGCCCTAAAGTTGTATATTGGTATTGGCATTTAAATTATTATCAGCTCGATATGTATACACACACTTTTCAAATTTTACACGCTTAAGGAGGCCAGATACATAGAACTAGATGGTAGAAATGAAAAGAGCGGTCTCTATTCAGGTGCAACAACACTAGCTCCAATCTTCATAAGTCCACACAAAGGGCTTTGTATGTAAGATGTGTATATTGAATCTTTCTTTTGCCATTGATATCACCTCCGTTCTCACTCTCATATGGCTGCCACATATATGGTGCAATAACCATACAAAAAGGAAAATGAGGTAAGTTTGCCTCACCATGTACTCTATTTATATTGTCTATTGCAAGTACTTTTCAGTGCTAGGAGCTTATTTTCTTCTTGTCCCCGTTGCTAGTTTTGAATTCTTCAAATCTAAATGTCGATATTTAAACAACTAGGTTTATCGCCACCCTCATGCCATTGATTGACATCATTCTTGTTATTGTTGATTACAATTTTATTCTTACTAAACAAGAGGGTTTATGGATAAGATAAACAAGAGTAAATTGCACCACGGTCCAAATATGGATCTCGACTCATTTTGTGAGATGTCTTGTTTCAATCCACTGTCTAACTTGTTCAATCGTACGATTCCAAGCAACGGTATCTAGATCCTGTGTGATACGCTCACCGAGTAGCAATAGGGGGTACTCAAGCTCTACAACGCTGCTAGCAACCACGATTGAAGATGCTGCGGCACACTGCTGCAGTGGTGTTCTCCTTCACCTCTAGAGTTGTTGTTGCTATAGGTGTTGATTTGGGTAAATATTGGATTGAGATGAGTATGTGATTTTATTTTCTTTATTGTATTTTGGATGCAGGGTATTGATTAAGTATTTGGTTGCTAAATTGAACTATTGTTTGCTGCCAATGCAAGAGAAGTGGCTATGCTTTCTTCTTTTTTAGAGTTTTTAGAGTAAACGGTAATTATAAGCTTAAATATTAATATATTTATATTTTAAGGTTAATCTGACATCAAGCTTTGTCACCGATGTTGAGTAAAATGGTGTTAGTTTAAATGACCATTGTGCTATAGTGGTACTTAAGAGTGCAATCTATGACTTAAAATCCTCATTTTTAACAAAAATACAAAAGAACAATTGATAAGATACAATATGCACAAGAGTTTAACCTTAAGAGTAATAAAATCTGTAGCATCTGAGAAGATCAAATTTTAAAAATCAAAATATGAATTCATGATTTTATAAGATTATATCTTCTAAGATTGTAGCCCGCACGGGAGTATCGACTGATATACTAGATTACTAGTTTACTCAAATACAAACAAATTGATATCTACATAGAAGAGTTGAAATAATTTCCCCAAAAGTCGCAAAAATTGTAGCAAATATTTGTGCTCCCAAATGTGTACAAGTCCTGTTTGGCTCACGGCGCGTGAGCAAATTTGAAATTTCATTGAAGACTAGTTCAAGTTGTTGCATGGTCTACTGGGATCGGTTGCATCGGCTATGCTCATGTTTTCAGCCTGTTGGATGTATTGCAGTTTTAGTTCCCTGCAATTTATGTAAGCATAATTTGCAACTTTTGATTCCGAAATAAAAACCCGTGGGACAAAACCACAAACCCAACAAAATATGATCCACGTTGGCACAAAGACAATCAATAATTTATAATTTAGTTAGACAAGGACAAAAATTTGATATGCTATGATACAAAGACAAATAACAAATCACAAAAGTAACAATTTACTTGTACTAATTTGTTATATAAGAGTGTTGTCTAAAATCATCTTAAAATTCAGGCACATAAAATATATGAGAAGTGTAATTATTTATATTTTTTATAAAAAGTAATCCTACTTCAACCAGTGGATGGAAGGTGTCATCATGTATGCAATCACTCAGGTATTTTGAGTTGTCTTCAACTCAAATTTAGATGTCTATTTCTTCTATGAAAAAAACGCTTGGTTCCTCTTAAGTCGGTGTCTTTTCTTATTATATATATTTTTCATTAACACTCGGTTTCATATATAATTAGCAATCTACGGTTGAGTGGACTAAAAATGAATACTTGTATCTTACTTATGTGGGTAGACTTTTAATATGTTTCTAGGATTAATCAAATAAAATCAATCCAATTTGTCAAATTAATATAACATCGTAAGAATAAAGTTTCCACACACCTAAATACGAACAGATCTCTATAGGGGCCGTTCGGCTGCCCTGAAATTCAGCCGGAAAACACTGTTTATGGATAGAAAACACTGTTCACTCTCTCACAAATTCCTCTAAATTCATCCAGATTCCTCCAAATTCCTCCAAGCGAACAGGACCATAATTAATTCATCAAATTCTGCTCCTAATAATTAGGTCCAGTGTGATCGGTAGGCAGAAACAAAATTAATACAAAAATCAAGACCCCCCTCCTCAGGGAGCAGGTGCAACAAATGATATTGATGTAGTCCGCCGTCCTAAGATAAATACAAATTTTGTTTTTCAAGAAGCTAAGGAACATAAAAAATAATATCAACATTTATATTTCCAAATAAGATTATTACGAGGCTATATTCCATACTCGATCTAATGATATTTATTTTACATCATGAATATTAGTACACTTTTGTATATATATGGTTAAAGTTTTAAAAAGTTAACTCATGGGAAAGCGAGATGTGTATTTATTTTAGGACAGAGAGAGTAAAACTTAGTATTATATTTTCCATGAACAAACAAATATCCAGAATATTTTTTTCCTATTTTTTTCTATACAAGATGTAACGAGGAAGGGTGCAGATTCTGAGAAGATGCAGGCATGCAGCCGCAGGGAGGCAAGCAGTCAAAGACAGTTGCCGCTGTAATGCAAATGCCGCCGGAGCAGCAGAATCAGAATTTTTGAGATCAATCAAAGGGATATCGCCGGCTAAATTTAGACACAGGAGATCCGGGAGAGGCGTGGACAGTGGACTGCTGCGTGCGCCAAGAGACCGAAGCGGTGGCCATGGGGGGATGGGAACAAAAGGCAGCAGGGCCGTGACGTGCCTCTCCTCCACTCCACGCCTCTGACCGAGCTCCTGCCCTTCCGATTCTCTCTCGCCAACTACCCTCTCAAAACGGCTTCACTCTCCTGTTCGTTTCTCTTGTCCCGTGTCTGCACTTCTCCTTCCTCCTCTTCACTACACCCTCCCCTGTCACCACCACCAACAAGGCTAACGCACACCAACCCAAGAACAAGAAAAGAGAAAAAAGAAAATAATTGATTGTGTTTTTATCTCTCTTCGTTCGAGGTAAGTGCGCGAGGAGGCAATAATGGTGGCGGTGCAGGCTGCGGCGACGGCGACGGCGGAGGCGCCGATCCGGGTCGAGGCCAAGGTCGCGGTGGCGCCGGAGGCGGAGGCCGAGGTGGAGGTGGAGGTGAAGGGCGATGCCGCCGCTGCGGCGGGAGAGACGGAGGACTACAAGAGCGACCTGAGGAAGCTGGAGGAGCTCATGTCCAAGCTCAACCCTCGCGCGCAGGAGTTCGTGCCGTCGTCGCGCCGCACGGCTCCAGTCGCCGTGCCGCCGGCGGCAGCGAAGCCGGTGGCGGGAGGAGGGGTGCTCTCCGCCCACGCGCCTGTGTTCGTGTCCGCCGCCGAGTACTACGGCGCTGCCGGCGGGCGCCTGGAGATAGGCGGCGGCGGGGGCAGGGACTCTAGCAGCGACGGATCCAGCAACGGCGGCGGCGGCGGCCACCCACTGAATCGCCGGGTCGGTGAGCTGTGAATTCTGCGTTTTTTACGGTTCTTTATTCTACGCGTCTCGATTTGGGAGGTTTTGATGTTTCTTTGACCTTTCCTTTCCTGTGATCGCTGGAGGATTTGGTGGTTTGCGTATCCCGATCGTCTGAATTGATGGGGGTGTCGGGACGTGCTGATCACTTTCTTCTTCATAGGATTTGGTTTTTGTCGCCTTTCCCTTCTTGTTTTATCTTTTGAAAATCAAGTCTTAAGCACTGAGGCAGGGTTTATAATTTTGTTCTGTTAAGAAGATTTTTCATCTGAATCATTTGCAGAATCATCATATTAAAGAACCTCCCCTTGCTAAAGATGACAACTTCATCTTCTTCGTTTATTAAGAAATGATTTGATGGGTGCTAAACTGCTAACCAGATAACATTGATGAATGATCGGTGCTAGTGGTACGACAATTGCCAAGAACTTGATACGTGGATCGATGTGATAGTGATGGGCTACTGTGCTTGATGTCAACAATTCATTTTCGTGGGCCTCCGTTTACCTTTTTAGAATTTCAGAACAAAAAGATGGTGTGATTCTGTGTTTCATTTATTGATTCCGGTGGTAGGACGACAAATTGACTTTGCCCTCCTGATTGATTTCAGAGAAGGAATAGCTTCAACCAGGGGAGGCGGAGGGTGGGAGGCCGGCCCCGACGGGCTGATAGGGAGGACAGTGTGCGGCGGACCGTCTACGTCTCTGACATTGATCAGCATGTGAGCTAACTAAACGCAGTGCCTTTTTGCATTGCCATTCCTGTGTCAATGCTGTTACATTTCTTTCTTGTTGTTTTACAGGTGACTGAGCAGAAGCTCGCTGAAGTGTTTTCTAACTGCGGGCAAGTAAGTTCTATGATTATTTTGCGGGAAAAAACATGGTGCTAGATTTTTCCTCTTAATTATGTGATGGCTGATGACAGCATCTGGGTGATATTTGTTATTTGTAACATTATGTCTATTGTTAACCTGTAGGTGGTAGATTGTCGTATCTGTGGTGACCCCCATTCTGTCCTGCGCTTTGCGTTCATCGAGTTTGCTGATGATGGTAACATCCTTGAGACATTTTGTTTTCATTTACTGTATTGGTAACAATAAAACAGTGATGGCTAAGTTTCTCTTTCTCTGCAGCTGGTGCAAGAGCAGCACTAACACTTGGGGGAACCATGCTTGGCTACTATCCTGTTAGAGTTTTGCCTTCCAAAACAGCAATTCTACCTGTCAACCCTAAATTTCTTCCTCGAGTAAGTCAATGATGATGATGGCAATGCTTTTATTTAGATCACACCTTGAAATTTGTTTTTTTCATGTATAAAAGTGGAGAACTGTACCAGTACTTCTTTTTCTAAAAAAGGAAATTACACAAATCTTAAAGCAGACCATTTAATTATTTGCTTTTCTCTTGGGCCCAGCTCATCCAACCCAGCCCGTGTCCAACCCTAACCCAAATCTGGCCGCTCGTTTTTTTCCTTGTTGACGGAGTATGGAAGCAGTTCTCATAAAAGTTTTGCTAACATTAGTTGTAATGCTTTATTTTTACAGACTGAAGATGAGAAAGAAATGGTATCGAGAACTGTATATTGTACTAACATAGATAAGAAGGTATGTAAGCCTTTTTTTTGGTTGTTTGTGTGGTTGCAAACTTAGATTCAGATTACACATAAGATGCTTATCATCAGATTCAGAGATCAACATTGTATTTAATAGTGCTTGTGTAATCTTTTAAAACTGAATTGCGGATCTTCTAACTGTAGTTTTAAATTATAGTGGGTGGTTCCAAATCAAGGCTTAATTTGCTTTAGATTAGTTGTTTCGTTAATGAGCTTTTCCTCCTGTCCTGAAATGATTGGTGAATGCTTAAATTTGATACATATGATTAATAGTGAATATAAAAATGTCTTAAAAAGTTAAAAGTTTGTAGCTTATGGGTTCTGCCCTCTACTTATCTGTAGGTTACAGAGGATGATGTAAAGGGTTTTTTCCAGCAAGCGTGCGGGAAGGTATGCTATAAAACTGTTGGTATAGAGTGTCTTTTCTGGAATATTTATATTCTTTTTTTTTTAAATGGTTGCCATCTAACACTTTGTCTAGGTTTCTCGGCTGAGACTCCTTGGTGACTATGTACACTCCACATGCATTGCTTTTGTTGAGTTTGCTGAAGTAAGTAAAATAAAGTCTTGTACTGATATATTCTGATGGAATTAAGATTTTAATTAATTTTCAAATGCGTATACAATAAGAGGGCCTAGGAGTGAGAGTTATGTGAATTAAGTGAAATAAGGTCTTTAGTGATATATTCTGATGCAATTAAGATTTCAGTCAACTTTCAAGTACTACTGGTACACAATAATGGGGCCTAGCAGTGAGAATTATGTGAATTAGATTGGTTTCTAATAGCAAAACACCTCTCACCCCTTGGGTTGGATGGCTGTCATATATAGTCACAAAGGACTTAGTACAATTATAATTAGACATCTAGATATATACCATGTAAAGAATAGCTGAACACCTCTCACCCCTTGGGTTGGGTTGCTTTTATATATATAGTCACAAAGGACTTTAGTATAATTACAATTAGACCCCGAGATATATACATATCTAACATTTACAAACATTACCAATTGAAAAGGTGCACTCAAAGGACAAGTTTTTTAATGGACATATTTGATTATACCAAAGTCGCACAGTTGCTCTGTGCATTGCTCGCAATTTCGTTATTTTGTGTTCAGTCCAGGTTGGTGTTCCTTTTAGTTATTTTTCATTATATTTCTCTTTGCCTCAATGTTGATCAAGACTTAGTTTATGTTAATTGGAAAAATCCATTCACCGAGACTTGTTAATGTTCCTGAATTAGAAACTTGTTATTATTGCTCTGTCCTAGAAACTTGTAATAATTCCAGATGTTGTGACAATACACACCAATTATATTTTTAACTGGTCGAAACAGGACGGTCCTTGGTCCATTTTCTTAAAAAAGAAAAAAACATGCTACTCCATGGAGTAAATGTTTCATTGGCAAAGACTTAAAAATCAGAGTTTTCTGTAGTCCACCAGAACCTACTTTTATAGGTGAAGGAACTACATTTGTTTCAAGTTACTATCCTTCTTAAAGCATTTGGGTAAAGACATGATTAGAGAGGTTTCTAGTCCATCCTTTTGTGCTCTTTGTTTTTTTAATTCAGTAAGTATGCCCAAGCAATCCCAACATAGTCTAAGCCATTTGTGCCATGATTGGTCGATTTATACATCATTTGTATTCTCGTTTTGCATGCTTCTTTTTTCAGGCTGAAAGTGCAATTATGGCCTTGAACTTCAGTGGTATGGTCCTTGGCTTACTTCCTATCAGGTAAACATTCTGTTAGCAACCCATATTCGTGAATTCATAAGAGTGTCATGAAATACCGTGATACCTACTGTAAGGAATGTCCTTGATTGTGCAGGGTGAGCCCTTCCAAGACACCAGTCCGTCCGCGGTCTCCTCGCGTGATGTCCAACTGAGCCCGTTCCAAGCCGCCGTCACCCTTGAGGCTGCCACCAATGGCAAATCATCCCGGGCAGAGCTGCTTCTAGCTATGACCACCCTAGAACCCTTGCTTCGCGGATCAGTGACGCCGTCATCGTCCCGAGAGTGTCCCAGTACCTAAATCAGTCATAGGAAACCAACTTGCTGCTGCTAATGTTCTTCGTTCTGTTAGAGACCCATGCACCATTTCCCTTCTTTTTTTCTCATTCGCCCTTATGTTAATTATGTATGGATTCGTCTATAACGGCCTTTCTCAGGCATCGGAAGAAGAATGAATAACTCTGGCATTTCTTCTAGCTGTGTGAGAGATTGTACATTTCTTGCTGGTATTTTTTCCCCATTTTGGCTGATACGCATATGCAGTTTATTTCCTGTGACTCCTATTTCGTTTGTCTGCACTCTGCGTGGATGCATAAAACATGTGTTTCTGGTGTTTAACATGCTGCCGTTGTTGTGGCTCAAAAGAACGATGGTGGCCTTGTGGGTTTCGGCATGTGTTCCCATGACTGAGCGCAAGTGTTATTGCCTACGACGACTCCTGCACGCTGCATCGTTACCCTTCCTGGATGCAGGAGACATGTGTTTCCGTTGTTAATCGTGCACTGGAGATTGACTGCACGGTGGCCGGTGGCGGCGACGGATCCAGCAACGACGGCGGCCACCCATTGAATCCCGGGGCATTGTTTGTTTCGTCTTCTATTCATTTTTGGGCAGTGTTTCATCTTTTGCTTATGGCTACCAGCCTGCCTGGTATATATATTTTTGAAACAAACACGAAGAATGCACATATCATTATATTAAAGAAAAAAAAAGATGACTCATACAATTCCTTTTAAGAATATGACCAGTACAACAAAAATCATCAAAAGGAACAAATGGGCAAAGACCAACTAGCCCCCATAAGTTACTGGCTACTGTCACCCTCCTTGTTTCGCTCTTTCGTCCTTCGTACTCACTATTCACTTTTTCGTCCTTCGTACTCACTCTCGTTTGATAGCCCCCATAAGTTACTGGCTACTTTCACCCTCGTTGTTTCGCTCTTTCGTCCTTCGTAGTCACTCTCGTTTGGAGCTCGCTCTTTCGTCCTTCGTACTCACTCTCGTTGCTTTCACCCTCGTTGTTTCGCTCTTTCGTCCTTCGTACTCACTCTCGTTTGGAGCTTGAGCCGCAAAAACTTCATTGGCACCACAACAACACTCACGTCATGGTCTAGCCACTTGAGCCCATTCATGTCACGTTGTGCATGTGGACACTTACTCGCCTTCCATATTTTTAAACTCACAGTAGGTGCACGCAGTAGTCATCTATTTAAGTTGAGTTAATCTTTAATCAATTTCTCATACAGGACTAATTCTTTATTGCACTAACACTTAAATTTATTTGATTTAAGGTTAGGCTAAATCCAATTAATCCAACAAAAATGGCTATATCTCATTACGGGCGCGAAGACTGTACAAGCATAGTAAATTGTACTTTCATTGTAACATATGAACATGTTTGCTATCAGTTTTAATTTGCATAAGAACTGTGCAAGGCTAAGGAACGTGAGACGAAAAACAAAGCAAAACCAAGCGAGATTTTGTTTTTTTTTTGGATAGAGGGAGTGTCAATCCTATGGTATGGCGTCATGGCTGGTCGTGTCCAAAGCTCAATGGACTGCGGGCGTGGTGTATACTCTGGGCCGCAAAATCAAGGTCCACTTCATCGTGTCGGACCATCCATGGATGACGGCGACGGCGACTTCTCTGGGGCTGAACTTGGTTGGTCGGACCCATCGACACATTCCAGAAATATGACATTTTCTATATTTAATCCAATCAAATCCATATTTTTCAAACAAATTCGAATTCAGTTCAAAATTCAAAACACTAAATTCGAAATCAATTTAGACATTTTCAGACTGTTTCTTACTTTTCTACTTTTAATTCAAAAATATCCCAAATACAAAATTCGATTTGAACCGAATTTGGCCCACTACAGACAGCCCAGTCCACTCACTGATTGTGCCCTCAAGCCTAAGCGTAACCCAACTGCAGTGTTGTTGTGCCCTCCCTCACTGGTGTTGCGGCGTCGTATATAAGCAGCTTGCTGCCTTGTCGCTGGTTGGGACGTCGAGGTGGTACTAAAAAAACTAGCATACTCACACACACTGCTTATACTTGCTTAGTCTAAGTCCCCATCCGCACGGGCCCAATGTGGTTGGCCGAAGCCCATGAAGCACACAAACAGCCGAGTATGCTGCCTGCTTGGTGCTCGGTCAAGTTTAATTATTTTATATTTACCACCACATTTTCTTTTTTTCTTTTTTTGTATGATTTTTGTATGTATAAGTCTAATATCTCGTGCTCAAAAAATATTGGCTTAGGTATGCATATAAGCTATGTAAGCTATGACAATGCAACTCAACATTCAAAAAAAAAACAATGTGAATTGTATATGAACTATTGTTAATTGTTATGCACTTGGTACTATGGGGCGGTATTCTGTATTTATTTTTCGTATACCGACCGTGTTCTACATAATTCCTCTCGAATTGGTTCGCTTTCGAAATACTCGATTTTCCGTAAATTCGCGTCGTTTTTGTCCGGTTTTACCATTTTCGCTTTTATTTTCGTATTCAAATGTAAAAGTAGAAAACGGTTGAGAGTTTTTTTTTACCGTTTCCGTCCGTTTTCATCCTTAATTCCAGCCCAACGATAAGCCGAGCCCGATCCGTTCGAGAGCGAGAAGGTCCAGTTAGCCAGCCTTCAAGTACCCCCACAGCGGCACACCGCACACGAGACACCCATTTGTCCACTTCTCTCCCCCCAACAGTCTCTCGCGGTCTCGCCTTCGGTCCGCTTGCCCCTCCTCCGAGCCCCACACCCCACGAGCGAGCTCGCGGCCACCGCCTCCTCCTCCTACCGCGGCCCGCAGGTACGCACCGCCGCTCCTCCCCCTTCCTCTCGCCGCCGCTCGCGTATCCCGCACTCGCGCCAACTCATCCTCCGTCTCCGGTCTCCCGATCGCGGTACCGCAGGCAGTCGCAGCGACACATGGCGCCGTCCAGGCACGCGGAGGAGGGCGGGCAGCTCCAGCTCATGGACGCCGACAGGGTCGAGGACGAGGAGGAGTGCTTCGAGTCCATCGACAAGCGTACGTCGCGCCCTCTCTCCTCCCGTCTCGCCTCCCGCATTACTTGTTCCGCGCGCGCGCGCCTTACTACCAGTAACACCCTGATCGATGCTGCATGCCTGCCTTCCACGGCGGGCGGATCGCTTCCGCCTTCTGCCGTTTCGCTTTTGGGTTGGGAAATTCCGGTCCGAGTTGGTGCGATTTGTGCTTGGTGTTCGGCATTTGTTTGTTTCTGTTGGGTGCCCGTAGTTGGGGTTTTGCGTTCCTTCTAATTCCCCCAAAATCTCGAGTGTTTTGGGAATCAATTAGCGTTGCATCGTGGCGTGAGTTCGTGGGGTTTAGTTTTCCCACATTTGATCGAAATCCTGCGGCTAGTTCGTTTTCATCAGTGTGTGCTACCGTTGCTTCTGCGTAGATTAATCTGAATTTAGCTTTCATCTGAGTTTATGAGCTCATTCCGTCAAAACGATGAACAAAATACAGTGGGATTCGAAATTAGCTCGTTCTATCCTTGGACTTTTGTGCGAATACTCTTAGCTTTTTTTTTCTAGCAAATTATTATGAAGGTCATTTTGGTGCACTCAGGGTTTTAGGCCTGGGCTCAGATTTTGTTGGGAAACAGTATTCATGTTGTGTTGTATTTTCCATTTGTGTCGTCCAACTCTATTAATCTGAGATCTGAGTTCTCAGCATATATAATTCCTGCGTTCAAGCTAACCTGTGGTGCATATGCATCTATTTGTCACAGTGATTTCTCAGGGGATAAATGCAGGAGACGTGAAGAAGCTGCAGGATGCAGGGATTTACACTTGCAATGGCCTAATGATGCATACTAAGAAGGTTCTGAACTTTGCATCCCAATACCCAAATCTTTGTTCTGTCTGTCTGAATTTTTTTTGCACAGTGCTTAAATTGATATCTTGTTTGTGGCACTTGCATGCTTTGCTTTAATGTGTTCAATATTCTGCACATATGGCTATTGTTCTAATTTATGGACTGTCTTGCAGAACCTTACAGGAATCAAAGGTTTATCTGAAGCAAAAGTTGATAAGATCTGCGAGGCTGCTGAAAAACTTCTGTCTGATCCTTTAAGTTGCTTTTGCATACTAAACTTCCATGCAACCAGTTATGTATGATATGGTATCTTGAATCTCTCTTCTTGTTTGTTTGTCTCAGAACCAGGGCTTCATGACAGGAACTGATCTCCTTCTTAAGGTAAGAAAATTGCATTTACCAGTTTGGTGTCTGATGAGTGATAACCAATGCTCGACTGCTTGTAATATGTAAACTAACTGACAAAAGTTGATTAGTTATTGAATATGGTTGAGGACTTTTAATGACTTCTCATATGTGTTTTCCTTTAAGGCCGTTTGATTTATTTTGGCTTATTTTGAAGCGGAAGTCTGTTGTTCGGATTACAACTGGGAGCCAGGCACTTGATGAGCTTCTTGGCGGTAATATATCTGAAATCTGTTGTGTGATCAGTCATGCCATTGTATTAGTCTAATAGATGGACATGTTTAAATCTGAAGGAGGGATTGAAACACTTTGCATCACAGAGGCATTTGGGGAGTTCCGGTACGTTGATGTTCTTGTTCCTGTTGTTTCCTTTTCTCTGAATTTCTGCTGCAGGAGCCATATTATGTGTATAGTTGATATTTATGATAAGGGGCCACGCTTGTAATAAATGTATTTAGTCCTAGCTCAGTTATGTATTAGTGCATTTAGGTTGATGATACAACCTTTCCAACCCTCTTGTACCACCTTTTTCTGTTGTTTCATCTTCCAGAGGTATTGCTAGCACTAGCAATTCTTCTTGTAGCTTCTAATCATGCTTTTGCTTTGCTAACTTAACCACATGAATACAATTTCTCACCATTTTCTTGATGTGAAGTGATTCATTAATGATAATGAAATTAAGGTGGGTTATCTTTTTTCCTGAAGGGAACAGTATATGAAACAATTCTTTGTTGTATGCTATTGCTGCGACTGGGAGCAATTTGCCATTGTATACAACACACAATCACCCACAAACATCTTACATGCAAATGAAAGAAACCTCTTGAGTATTTACTGAGAATAGTCACAGTGAATGTTGACTTATGATGCGCTTTTGTAACTATATTTCTGAGTTCAGTTCTAGATTTTAAGTTTGAAATATGTGTCATCTGGTTGTCTTGCAGGTCAGGGAAGACCCAGTTGGCTCATACTCTATGTGTCTCCACTCAGGTTCATCCCCCGTATCAAATTTTGTAGATAGCACGTAGACCATGGAACTATAGAAGCAATAGAATTTGAGGAAACATAGAAACAACATAACTAATAGAATTTGAGGAAACATAGAACTACTCTTTTATTTCTGATTGATGAAAATGCAGCTTCCAATCCACATGCATGGGGGGAATGGGAAGGTTGCCTACATTGACACTGAGGGAACATTGTATCTTTGGAATTTCATGAGTAATTTGTCCAGCTTATTCTCACAAGAGTTTATATTTATTCCTATCATCTCCAAATTGTTTCCTTAATGAAGTTTTCAGCCGACCTGAACGCATTGTGCCAATTGCTGAGAGATTTGGGATGGATGCCAATGCTGTTCTCGACAATGTATGAATTCCATGCATTTAACATTTCTGGTTTCTATTAGCCCATTTCATGACTCATAGACCAAATTGGCTGTTTAATTTTTTGTATGTTTCTGGTTAGATCATATATGCTCGTGCATACACCTATGAGCACCAGTACAACTTGCTCCTGGGCCTTGCTGCCAAGATGGCTGAAGAACCTTTCAGGCTTCTGGTAGGCATGGAACTGTAAAGTGCATTGATTTTTGATAATCTCAGTTGTGTTCATGTGGTATTTGTATCGTCCTGGAAACAGATTGTGGATTCTGTGATTGCACTATTTCGTGTTGATTTCAGTGGCAGGGGTGAACTTGCAGAGCGTCAGGTATTCTCGTCAACTCATTTCAATGGCAGTAGGCACCTCGTAGAAATGTTGAAGGGTGCTGTTTTATCTGCTTGTTTATGTGTATCTGCTGTGAAATTGCAGCAAAAGCTAGCACAGATGCTGTCCCGACTTACCAAGATTGCTGAGGAGTTCAATGTTGCAGTGTACATCACCAACCAAGGTGGGCATTACTATTTAGCCCTATATCTATTCCAAGAGTTACAGATGAATGAATTTCAATTTCTAAGCTGTCTCCTTGTTGTGTTCCAGTGATTGCTGATCCAGGTGGTGGTATGTTCATAACCGATCCAAAGAAACCAGCAGGCGGCCATGTGTTGGCGCATGCTGCCACCATCAGATTGATGCTGAGGAAAGGCAAAGGCGAACAACGTGTCTGCAAGATCTTCGATGCACCTAACCTTCCTGAAGGAGAAGCTATATCCTTTTGCTTTGATAGTCCATGTTTACTGCTTGTGCTAATGATCACCTTACTTTCACAGCTCGATAAAATCTAGCTAAATTGCCTTGCTTACATAGCAAACTCTAGTGATAGTGAACCTTACCTGCAAATATTAATCACTGAATGTTTTAGATGATACAAATTATCAGTGTGATACATGTAACTTGTTTCCCTTGACCAATAGCACGTTTTCCAGGTTACGTCAGGTGGAATCATGGACGCAAAAGACTGATTCAGTTTCCAGCCAGAGTGCTTCTGTCCAAAGATTGTTCATGTTTCTTCAGTAAAGTTCATAGCATCCATGGGTATACATACCTCGAGAAAAGTTACGGCAGTGTTACTTTGTTTTATCTTTCACATAGAAAAAGTAGGCAAAACTCTATGTTTGAGGCCTCCCATTGGGTTATTTTTGCCACGGAATTTGAGATGGAACCAGTTGTATATGTTTTCTTGGCTTCCCAAAAGACTTCTAGGCAGACCAGAGACCATCTACTGTGTTGTTCATGCATGCCAATCAACATGCTTAATGCTCCATGCTTGCCTGAATGGCACTGTGCTTCTTTCTTGTTAGTTGTTCATGCATGCCCATCTACATGCTTAATACTCCATACTTGCCTAAATGGCACTGTGCTTTCTAAAGCTCACTTCTAAATCATCATTTGCATAAAAATCAATTTCTATATCTTTCCACTCTCCATCGATTTTCTATATCTTGTGTACACTCTAGAGAGCTATTTTCGTTTTCTATTTTTGGCTAGCGAGAAAATCCAGAATACAAGATGGTTATATTTGTATAAGTAAATAAAAAGTTGTTGGAGGGTATTTTTTTCATCACAATCTCTATTTGTATCTTGGAGTTACTCTAAAGATAGGGAATTAGACTCATTGCCTTACGTTTATAACGGAGATTTGGTTGTGTTTGTGAGTTTAGTGTACAAATCATTCTATTCGAGCATTAGCCGTCGGTTGGGCATACCTAAAAACCAAACAAATCAAACTACTAAAAGATAAATCAAGCTGTTTTTTTTTTGCCTATATTCATTTTTTTTGTCATACCATATTCACCAATGATTAAAAGGAAACGCTTAGCCATGGGCGTCCGTCATCGGACGCTGCTCCCAGTCCTGCCTCCCTCCGGCGCAAAAAAAAAAAAAAAAAATTCTTCACTCAGGCTGTGGTGTCCTCCTCGGCTGCTCCAAGCCCCTCACTACACTACACCTTCGGCCCTGCTGCTGCAAGATTCCGTAGCAGGGCTCTCTCTCTTCCCCACTCCCTCCCAAGCATGAAGCGCCAGCTCCGGCATCTCTCTCGTGCCCGATCCTTCCCGTGCTGCTCCTTCATGCAAGGCACCCGGCCCTTCCTCGCTACTCGCGTGCGCGCGCCACACCACCGTCCAGTGCCATGCCCCCATACACCTCGCCCGTCGTGGAAGGGGAGGCAGGGGAGGCTGTGCCTGCGCCCGAGCAGGCTCGTGCCTGCGCCGGTGCCCCCATCCACCTCGCGTCGTCAATAGGAAGGGTAGCCTATGCCACTGCAGTTTCCCACAGGTAGGCTGTAGCCGCCGGCAATGCTGTGTTTTTCAAGTGTTTTCATGCGTTTTCAAATATGTTGCAAAGTCTCTATTTTAAGTGTTTCAGTTGTTTCATATGTATGTTTCAAGTGTAAAGGCACATGGATGTTGCAAAACTAGATCATGATGCTGCACATATTGTAATGTCTATACATGTATGTTTCAAGTGTATGTTCCAAATGTTTTATCTGTTCCAGACGAATGTTGCAAGTGCTTTATGTGGATGTTGCAAAAATAGATCTGGATGTTGCATATATATTGCAAGTATATGTTTCAAGTGTTTTTAGGTGTTCTAGTGTTTTATTTGCATATTGTATATGTTTGCAATGATTTTTAAATGTTTTTCCGACATTTCCACAAGTATTTTAGATGCTTGTTTTAAGTGTTTAATTTGTCTTTTTTTATGTTGTAACTTTTGCATCTAGACGTTCCAAAAGTAGATCGGGGTGTTACACATGTGATGCGTGTGGAAAGCAGTTGGCGGCATGGGCGATGTCCGGGGCGGCGTGGGCCCACTACTGGCGCGCTCGCTCGCTCCTTGTGCGGCTAGCTTCTAGATTGGATGTCTGGGAGCTTGTTAAGTCCCATGATTAAAGTGTGGAGAATAGGGAGAGTGAGGCCCATTTGGTAGGGCTTCTTTTGGCTCGAGCTCATCCGGAGGAGACACAGCCGGTAAAGCCAAAAATACTGTATTAACTGGCTACTAGTTCATTTCTAGAAGAGAGAAAAACAGCTCCTTGCTACAATAAAAAATATTCCCTATGAACTTGAGCCATTTTCTAAGAAGACGACCTCCCAAACAAGGTCTATCATTTCGTGCAATGTAAGTAGAAGAGTTTCAAACATAAAAATAGTTGAGTTTTGTTTGTCTGGTCTCCACTTATGAGTACGAAAACAAATGCTTTATACATCTCTAAATATGAACTATATTTTTAAAATACAATATTATTTTCAAATAAAGGCCGATTCCACAAGCAATTGAAATAGATGACATTGAGTCCGATTCCACAATTACTTGAAATAGATGACGTGATCATATAAAATAAAACTCTGAACCACAAGTCATCCAGATGACTACGCAACAAGCTGTTAGTTTCAATGCAACGGAAGCATATTTGCTAGTTATTATAGATAAACAAAAAACATAGTTCCATAATTTATTTTGCATCAGGCTTCAACAGCCAATATGCTCCCCTTGGCATCTACATCAAGCACACAAGAGAGAGGCTCTGACAAAAAAATTCCTCCAGAACACAGTGGCGCCGGCGAACTAGCTGCTTACAGGCTTACACAGATTGTCCACCATCTCATGGGAGACGGGTTATTTGTACACCGAGGATATTGGCCTAGCCGGTGTTCTGCATGCCGGCAGCGATGCCCTTCATGGTCAGGATCAGTGTGTCCTCAAGGCCTGGGGCGTACTCGCTCTGCTGGTTCAGCTGCACCAGCTCCGCTGGCTGGCTCTCGTCCGTGAACTCCTTGGACAGGGGCGGCTGCGGGCTCACCTGGAAGCTCGGGTCACGTATCCGCTTCAGGGTGTAGGCCTGGCACACGTTCAGAGTGGTGATGTAGGACTCACGCAACCGCAGACGCTGCTTCAGGTAAGGATCGCCTTCAAGGACGTCCTTGTGACCAGCAACCTGAAGCGAAATGGCAACAGTTAGGACCATAATGCAATTAGGCTCATGAAATTTCAGAATGTTCGACGGCCACAAAAAACGTGGCACTTTGAGTGCCTATAATTGGCTACATAAATAAATACAAAAATAGCTGAAATGCAAGCAAAACCAAATCTTTGGAGCCACAAAAAACGTGGCACTTTGAGTGCCTATAATTGGCTACATAAATAAATACAAAAATAGCTGAAATGCAAGCAAAACCAAATCTTTGGAGTGTGAGCTATTAGAGCACTTTACCTGAAGGAGCAGCTCTTTTGTCTCCTCATAGTTCTTCCTCAGTTGCTCACCGAAGGATTGCAAATCCTCAGCCACTAGCAATTTGTCATATACAGCTGCAATTCCGGGGTCTCCCTTGGCAAAAACCATCTCAAGCAAATCAAGGGTGACCCTGAAGAATGGCCACTCATTGTACATTTCTTTCAGTACATGGATGTTCCTGATGTCCTTCTGCATGATGTGCTTGATCGCTGCACCAAATCCAAGCCAAACAGGCAGATGGAACCTTGTTTGTGTCCAAGCAAAGATCCATGGAATTGCACGGAGCGATTCTATTCCCCCACTAGGCTTCCTCTTTGAGGGACGGCTGCCAATATTCATCCTACCATATTCAGTCTCAGGCGTAGCCTGAAAGAATATAAGATTGAGTTAGTTGCATACTCACCTACCGACTTCTAGAATCTACGAACCAGTTTAATAGCAGCCCACTGAATCATCATGCAGTAAGACACAGTATGCTTAATAAGATAAAAAAAAAAGTTTAGTCCTCATTGGTCAATGCATACAGTGCAGTGCATTCACTTGTATGCCACCAATACCTTGGTAAAAATGATATCCTACCTAGAAACAAGAGCATTTGTCTTAGTTTTTTTTTTCTCAAATTGGTCTCTGTCCACTTAAGAGTGTTCTAGCATGTTTCAGTTAAAAAGGATTTGCAGTAAACTACACATGTTCAAATTTTCTAAAGAACTAAATAATAGGTTGACATTAGGCAGTCTTGCTTTAAGTACACTCTTTAAAGTGTACAAATTAGGGTCTTTTAGCAGCTTTGAAACAAGTCAACATCACGCTTGTGCAAATGCAAAGTGTTAGGCTTGTAAGAATACTGGATATAGTTGAAACCTACCGATCTGAAGTATTCAACAAAGCGTGGTTCTTGGAAGACAATTGATCGATATTCTTTAGTTGCTACAACAGCCATTTCATCCATCAAAGCACGCCATTCTGGCTTGGGGGAAATTGGAGGATGCATGCCATGCTCAAGAGTAGCTGCAGTGTAGCGTTGCAAAGTTCTAAAGCACAAGAGCTCCTCTCCAAAGGAGTGCTCAATAACTTCACCTTGAACTGTTACACGAAGCGATCCATGTATCGTGTCTGGTGGCTGAGATAATATGGCCAGATGAGTGGGACCACCTCCTCTGCCAACTGTTCCACCTCTTCCATGAAACATTGTCAACTTCACTCCATAATGCTTTGCCACCTTGATGAGCTCTTCCTGTGCTTTATACATTTGCCATGCTGCAGAAAGACGCCCTGCATCTTTGCCAGAGTCTGAATATCCAATCATGACCTCCTGCTTGCCATTAATCCTATTCATGTACCAATCAATTGAAAAGAGTCGTGCTACAGCTGCTGGAGCTGCTTCAAGATCTGCAAGTTTCTCAAAGAGTGGAACAACTCTCAGTGGCTGTTTTACATGGCACTCACGCTGCAAAAGCTCAACCGCAAGCACATCAGATGGAGCAGTTGCCATCGAGATGATATACGCGCCAAAGCAATCTGCTGGAAGCTCTGCAAGGACATGAAATG